GTACGGTTCGTTGTTGTGTTTTCTCCTTATTTGTATCGTTGTTGTTCCTGTTTTCCCTCTGTTTGCTGTTCTGTTAAACTGCCCTTATCCCGACCCCCCTGTTTCTGCCTCTTTCTTTTCATTCCCCCCCGCACGCCGGCGGGGGGAGGGGCGGCTGCGTGGCGCTTTTGTTGCCGGCGGCAGCCGAAACCGAAACAAATAGTAAGACCAGTTCTTTGGGTACCCAGGCCCCTGAGCTGAAAGAGACAGGGAGCAGAATGAAGCCCCCATAACCCAACGGGAAATGATCAGGGACCTGCTACCCAGTTAGATACACACAAGTATATGGGGCCAGGTGGATCCACCTAAAGCTACTGAGGGAGTTGGCAGAAGTGCTCACCAAGCCGCTGTCAATCATTTATCAGCAGTCCTGGCTAAGTGAGGAGGCCCCAGACAACTGGAGGCTCGCCAGTGTGACACCAATCTACAAGAAGGGCTGGAAGGAGGATCCCAGGAACTAGACGTGTGTCAGCCTGGCCTCGGTGCCAGGGAAGGTTATGGAGCAGATCATCTTGAGTGCCATCACACAACATGTACAGGACAACCAGGTGATCAGGCCCAGTCAGCATGGATTTGTGAAAGGCAGGTCCTGCTTGACTAACCTGATCTCCTTCTATGACAAGGTGACCCACTTAGTGGTTAAGAGCAAGGATGTGCATGTTTTCTACCTAGACTTTAGTAGAGCCTTTGATGCCATTTCCCACAGCATTCTCCTGGAGAAACTGGCTGCTCAGGGCTTGGACGGATGCACTTTTCACTCCTGATCTTGATGATTCTCAAGGTCTTTTCCAACCTAAATGATTCTATGCTTCTATGACACAAGAGCACATCAACAGAACAACCAACCATCATATCCACCTGCTGATTGGGAAGGGATGACAAGAGAAGGAGGGGAAAATTAAAAGCTTGGCATCTGATATGGAATAAAAGAGATGGCAAAAGAAGAAATCCATCAGTGTTGATATTCCTGTGTGATGGCTTGTGAGTGGTTTGTCTTTGCAGTTGCTGGCCAATTCCTGTTGTCTGTGTATCCCAGACACACTGCATGTGCATTCGGATAACCTCTCCATGGTCTCAGCAGAGCAAATCAGCTGAGGGCCTTAGCATCTGATCCTGATTTCACCAGCTTTAAAGGGTTTATATACCTCTAAGGTAAGCATGTGCTGAAGTGCTCTTCTAGTCTGGTGTCAAATGCTCAGTACATGAGCCTGGAAGGGCATAGGGAGAGTTTTGTACTGAGTAGGCTCTGGGAAGAGGCAGAAAGTGTTTGATTGGTGTAGGCAATCTGGAATGCACCACAAACACCGTGTTAATCTAATTTGAAGTTTTGAAATAAATCTGTTTACTGTAATGACGCCTCCCACAGTTCCCCACCTTTTTTTTTGTTTCCTGGTAAATTTTCATTTGGGAAAGCTGCAGTGTGAATGTCTTCTCTGTGCTTGACTGAATCGCGATACTGCTATTTTTTTGGTATTATAATTAAAAAGGAAAGACACAACATCATTAGCTTTTTTCCCCTTGTTCCTTTAGATTGCCTTGAATGCATGGATTCCTGTTTAGGTCTTAACCAAAACCTACTTACTTCCCAGTTTCTTATCCTTTCAGCTTCTTCAGATGAAATGACTCAGCAGCTACAGGATGAGTTTGACACCAGCGTGGAGAATGCAGAAGCTTGGATGAGGGCCATCCAAGAGAGACTCAGGATCAATGATAACACCAAGGGACCTCGATCTGCCCTAGAAGCCAGGCTGAGGGAGACTGAGGTAAGGGAAGGAGTGATGTAGTGGTTCAGAGGTGGCTGTTACTGCTGCCATTGTTACAGCAGTTATTGCTGCGAACTCTGGAGTTTTCCATTAGAAAACTGTCAGCTGCCCCTGCTTGCTGGAATATTGGTCCTGTGTGGATGGATTTACATCAGTATTCTTTCTAATTTTTCCATCTGCAGAATGTTTACAGACTTTATAGAAAAAGATGGCAATTTGATATCACAAGCTTCCAAGCTTTTCAGGTTGGTTTGGAAGACTAGCAGCAGGTTTGGCAGGTTAAAATGTTTACACTTTCCTATGCTCAAAGCTGAAACAATTGAGTCGCTGCTGGCAATTACCAGATAGTGATTTGCAGAAGTCCAGCATATAGTACGAGAGAATCAGATCATATTAGTGTTCCGTCTCCTCTAGGACTCTGGCACTGATAGATTGCAGTGTCCTAATGGGCTGTTCTAGAGTAATCCCCTTGTCCTTTTCCATAAACCATCATGATAAGACGGTTTACAGCTCCCCTTTTACTTTTTCATTAGATGGATTGTAATGTTTTCGTTTTTTTCTGGTCCTACTTAATCTCTTGTATAACTTCTCACAGAGATCCCATTGCAGATTGTGCCTGCTCTTACTGTGATTTCACTTTCATTAATTTACGTTATCTTGTTCTTGTAATCTCAGAGAACAAACACTCTTTTTTTGTCCTATCTCTGCCATTCATGATTAGAGGGAGTGGTGGTATTTCTATGATTAACATTGAAACTATTTTTATACTTGTATTACCTTTAATTCCAGCTAGTCTGTTCTTTAAATTAAATGGCCAAATTTTTCCATCATTATTTACCCAAATGTCTTGTCTTTTCATGTGTCTGCTCGTGTTTGGGCTGCCTCTTCTGAAGTTTAACAACTCCAAAAAAACATTGCAGGCTTACATGGAGGAAAAGGTTGTTTACATGATGGTACAGTGATGTCTTCAGCCTTTTTCCTTAACTGTGGCTCATTGGAAGCTGGACCTTGCCTCTGGCATAATATAGAGACTGTTCATGGAGTGATGGATGATGGCTAGACTTGCATGTCAGTCTTGAAAATCTGAAATATTTCCTCTTGGTTTATAGATTTATTTCTACCCTTAAATTATTTTCACCCTCTCCTTTTGTCTGGGAAACTGTGATATGTACAGCCTTAAAAAACATGCAAGAAGCACAGGAACTTGGGTAGGGAGAGTGGTAGTTTGGCAAAAGGGGTGCATTCGTGGCAGAGATAACAAGACATAAGGTTTAGAGGCTTGTCATGATTTAATATGTCCTGAACTGAAGCCGATTGTCTTCTGTGGGCTTTGGAAGAGGTGTACAGCATGCAAAAAATCATGTTAGAACATTTTTTTTCAGTTCAGACTTTGGAAATTTATCATTCTAAAGAATAACAAGTGTCTGTTCTCTCTTCTGTGTATACTTTATCCACTTCCTTCTCCCTCATCCTGCCTTCTTCCTGGGCCTGGCTTCCCTGTCCAGCTCACGTCTCCTTGTGATGTGCTCGCTGCTTCACCTGTTGGCTGTTTTTCAAATCCAGTGATCATTTTTCAGTTAGTTTTTTGCATCTTGCCTTTTTTTCATGCATCCTTCCTGTGGTTTATTTTCTGTTAATTTATTAATGAAAATGCCAGCCAAAGATAGTGAACACTTAAACAGATTTGAAAAAGAAGAATGCCTGTACAAAGCCACTGCTTTTTCTCCAGCTGTTGTTTGCTTTCACTTGCTTGAAAAATGTCGGGCTTAGAATACAGCTTTGCTCTCAAATTTTTCCTGTTGATTGGTAGCTATGGCTTTTATTTTCTTTCTCTGCCCTACCCTTTGCCCTGCTTTCCTGGATTCTTTTAATCACACTTTTCACAGTAGATGGTTTGTCCAAGCAGCTGCTTGTACGTCACATGCAGATGTGCTGTGTACATGCCAAAAGAACAGTCTTTTCCCAGAATGTGAGACTGGAAATCCGATGGCCTGTGATTTGGTCTCACCTTTGCAATAACTGACGTGATTTTTTTTAACAAATCCCATGGGCCTAATTTTTCCAAAAGTGGTTTCTGGTTTTGAACCTCTCAGTGTTTTCGTTATAGAAGCTTTTGCCATAGAACTTGAGAGCCTGCAGTTTGCCAGGAGTTTGTGGAAAAGCTAATCTGATGGTGTCAGAAATTTGGATAAAATGAGGCTGAAAGCTGACATCCAAATCAGGACATAACTAATCTGTTACATTTTATAGAAGTTGTGCTGATTTTCCATCTCTGGGTAGAGGAAGAGAATCTACTTAAAATTAGATTGCTTAACTTTCAGTCCCTGGCATTCCAATTTGTGTAAGATACATGTTCTCACCAATTCATAGCTTAGCAATTCAGTGACAAAGCAAAAGTTGGTAGCAGGCAGAAAATTCCACTAGTTAATTTCTCTTGGCCTGTATTCTGAGCCAACTTTTAATGTATTTCATGTTTTCTTATAGTAGAGCTTAAAATTGAGATGTTGCAGTGTACCCTGTGGAGACTGCCTCTACACTCTTTGGCAGGTGGGGAGAACAACTGGCAACATAGCGCTATAACTTATAATCACAGTTGAAACACAGCCACAGATATTTGATAGAAGATGGTCTGGGTTTTATAGCTAAGTTAAAATTTTTTTCAGTTGCTTTGTGGTTTTCAGTTCAGTTCCATCTTTTCAGATGCTCAAGAATAAATAAATTTGAAGAAAAATTAATATTTGCTGTTCAGTAGAAGCTTTGCAGCAGGGATTTCATGATTCCTGGGTAAAAACAGAGTTTAAATGGCAACAGTTATGCTTGCTTTCTTTTTGTGCTTTCAGTGTCATTTGTTTCTCTCATAGAAAATACGTGCACTGGAACCAGAAGGCAGCTTGAAAATGGACTTGATTATTGTGAAGGCAGATGCTGCTCTTCGCAGCATCAGTGAGGATAAGAAGCATGAGGTACTATCTAAACTGAAAGACATTAAAGCCTTGTGGGAAGAGACAGCAATATACATTACTCACTGTCACAGGTAAGACAAACGTACTCTGCACAACACTGCTCTGTGGTGTGTTGAGGCAGTTGTCTCACACAGGGCTTTCATAAAGTGCTCCTCACCTTTCTCTGCTACGTGGATTGTAGATGGCAATCACTGCTAATCCTAGTCCCATGAAGATGTGGAGAGAGGGTCTGTGTGGGCAGAGAGGGTCTGTGGGACCTCAGTGCTTTCTGCCTTCACAGCCAGCCCACTTCATGGTCTTGAGTGATGAGTACAGGGACTTTGTACAGGGTATTTCTTCCCCTGAGCAGAGAGGACCTGGAAGGTGAATCTGGACCCTCTGGAATCAGAGCAGCTTGAAATTGCAGAGAACCTTGTCCTTTGCTTTGAAAGCCTTTTGAGCTTACCAGTCTCAACTGCTCCTGTCATAATTTCATCTGACTAACTCATCTCTCTTGCTCTCTCCAACAGCCGTATTGAGTGGATCTGGCTGCACTGGAGTGAGTACCTGGAAGCCCAAGATGAGTTTTATGCATGGATTCACAACATGAGGGTGACCTTGGAGCCTGACATTGAGTTGCAGCTTGGCTTAAAGGAGAAGCAGTGGCAGCTGGGCCATGCTCAGGTTCTGCTGAATGATGTCTTAAATCAATCGGTACTGTGATGTTCAGAAGAAAATGAGGGTGGAATATGAAGGAATCAGGAAAGAAGCTCAGGTATGCCTATAAAGAGTGGGAGGTGTTCAGATTTCAGCAATATACGGTATTGTTTGCTATCTGCCACTTGAGTGGTGGGGCTTAGCTGGTAGGACTGCAAAAAGGAGCAGAGCTGAGGACCCCTGTTCTTCCAGTCGGTGGACTGTTTGCAACAGTCATCATGTCCCAAGATAAGCTGTTAATTGGGATGCTCTTACACTGCGCTTTATAGTATGTTGTTGTAAAGTAACTGCAAGCTGCTTGCTGTGGCCTAGTGAATATTGGTTCAGGTCATCTCTGTATGAAGTTTGAATTGTGTCTCATCTTTCAGCACATTAGTGATCCTTGTATAACCAGATGTGAAGTACCCATTCCTGGAGCCAGGGAATATTACAGGCATGCACCCTTGTTGGATGAATTGGCATTAGTCCAGATCCAGAGCTGCACTCCTTCCCTGCAGAAATGGGAAGCACAGAGGTGGGAGTCAGCTGTGGCCCAACACTGAGCTCAGCTAGCCAATTCCAGTATCTGGAAGATTTTCACTGCATACATATACTAATTCTTGCCTGGTGCTAATCTTCTAGCTTGAACAGTTGTTAGACAGGCTGGTGTAAGACATCCTAGTTTATCTTTCAGTGCCGGTGATTTCTTTTACCCTATTCCTGGGTGAAGATTTCGGATAAGGCTCATACTTTTCACTTCTAAAACTCGGGTAAAGACAGGATTGGACCATGTCGCATGGCTAAGGGGCAGACATCTGCAGGTGGGCAGAAGAATTCAGTTTCTTGCTAGCCCATATCAACGGAAATACTCAAAGGAGTATTTGAAAAATATATAGACATGTCTATCTCAAGCATATAGAGATTAAAATCTAGTCTCTATCTCACAGTGGCTTCCAGGAATTCCATAGGCTAGAGTTACCTGGTGCAAATACAAAACTCTTTCATTGCATTGGCTCTGCTGTCTGCCTCTATCATAATGTTGCCTTCTATTTGTTCCCACACCTACACCCCAGCCAAGAACTGGAGCCTGACACTGATGTGTGCTCTTCGCCTGTGGCTGCTGTCATACAAAGTTAACTTCAGATCACACTGGAAGAACAACACCACTGGGATGCTCATGCTATTGCTCCACTCGCTCTACAGATATTTTTTCCTGTTTAAAAAAAATTCACCCAAAACAACAACAACAACAAAACCCGAGCTGGCACCTTTTATGAGCATGAAATTCAGATATTTTTTAGCCATAAATATAAAAGTGCTGCTAATAAGTGTCTCCAAAAACCAGAGCATATTTGGAAATCATGTTACTGCAGCTGCTGCAGAGAGGCTGTAAAGTCACCAACAGTCTTATGCCTCAGCATTGAGTATTTTTAAAGGTAGATCTTTTCATTACAAGGCAACTGGATTTACAAATAAGAAGTTTCCTGGGAATTCAGGTGTTGTCTATCTAGATTGCCATTTAAAATTGTCATTCATTCCTTTCTAACCAAGGTTTGGTTTTGGTTTTTGAAGCAGGAGACTGCCATTAGTTATTTTAATAAGGCAGTTCCTTCAAACAAGTCATTTGAATACTCAAAGCCAGAATGTGACCTCTCTGAGACTGGTTTTACATAGTGTAATTTCTCTTACTGACTTGGATACATGCTGGTGTAAATGAGATCAGGAAGTGCCTCGTAGTACTTAGATAAAATACGTCTTTATGTCTCCAGCGAACTGAGGTGCTAGAAAAAGCTTTGCTTTGGCATTGGTTACAAATACCAGATTTCATAGAAGGATGGAGTGAGAGAATCTAGCTAAGAAATCCCTCTTTCAGGAGGTATGGAACAAAGAAGGGAGTTGGGAAGCCTTGGATTTTGTAACTGAAGTAAATGCAGTGTTCATTAGCTAATGCCAAGGTTACAGGCACCTTGGGAGTCGTGTTGGGAAGTGTAACACTAGTTAGAGAAACCCTGCCAGCTCCTACAACGGGAGGGAGGAATGAATGAAAGGGATGTAGGAGTTGTAAGGGGGTTGCTCCGGCCCCTTGCCTGATGAGAGGCCAGGCTAAATGTGACTTGCAGATGCCAGCTGAATGCCTGAGCTGCCTGCCAGAGGAGGCTCACTGGTGTCTGTAGATTACACTTGTGTTTGAAGAGCATTTTTAGATCCCTTGCAGTTGTCCAGCTCTATCAGAAGGCAAGCTCTTGAACAGTGTTTCTTAAATGGTTTGCATGTGACATTGCTTCTCTGGTATGAGCAAATGGTGGGGTTTTTTTTCCTTCTTAGTCCTAATGTGTCCTTATCATTCCCAAATTTTGAAAGCACGTAATTTTCTTTTAATTACAATGACAAAGATATTTTTAGATGTGGCAGCCATTTCCTATGTGCTTTCCCTTGTGTAACAGTATGCAGACGTAAATGGTTGTGGGTTTTAGCATAAATGATGACTGAAGATTATAAGAGAAGTTCTGATATACAGTGTGTTGATATTTAGTCAAATATATCAAATATGTCTGAGCACATCAAATGAATGTCAGTACATGCTGTCTCTGTTAACTGAAACCTAGGTATTTATAATGCCAGCCCTCACGTACCCTAGAGTTAAGACTGAAAGCACCAGGAAGGACTACAGGAGCTTTCTGGACTCGAGATACCACAGAGGGATTTAAGGCCGGAACTTCCTGCATGTGCTCTAGATTGCCTTCCCGAGGAGGCTCATTGGCCTTTGCTGGCTATAAGGGGAGCTCAGGGGAGAGGGCTTGCCGTGCCTCTGTCCACCCTCCGTGAGCACCTGGGGCTGGGCATACGCTGCCCAGACACATCTCTTCTCTGGAGCCGTGGCAAACCCTTTGTTTTCCTGTCGGTGCTCTCACTCTTTCCAGGGCTCTGTCCTTGCCTAATGTGTCCTCACATTGACCCAAGTACATGTGGAGATGGAGTTTAACAATGTCCTGCTCCCCGAACAGCTAACCTGACAGAAGCACACGATATTGTATTTTCCGTCATTAGAAAGTTTCCCTGCCTGTCCTTGGGGCTCAGCCAGCTCTTTGTAAGCCGTTTGTATGTCAGCTAGCACAGTCTCTCCAGACCCATGACGTCTCTTGCCTGACCTCATAGGCCAGCTGGAGTATCCAAACTGCGCTCCTTTGTTTGGGCTGAATACCCTCGCCAGGGGTGGGTCATTTCCACTTCCTTTTTAGCCCTCTATATATTAGCGTAAGACTTTTGAGTTTAATAATCTCTGCTTTGTTATTCTGACTTGCTCCCTTTGGAGCTTCTGTCAGTGCAACAAATTAACCTAATTCCCTGGAATCAGTAAGCTCAGGCTGACTTGTTTCACTTCAGTGTTTGGCCCCTTTACACCTCTATAAGATTGCATTCTTTAAGTATCTAGCTTGAGGTCAAGGTGAGAATTGTTTAACCTGCACACACCTCTGTGGATTTGAGAATCAAGGCAAGACGATTTAGCAAAGTGAGGTGTTCTGCTGGATAGGAGAGCCCATGGTGACTGATGCTGGCCTAGCTGCAGAGAAGCTGACAGGATGGTGATGGCCCACTGCCACCTCAGGCAGGTTGACGGGTGTGGGGACGTGCCTAGAGCCTCGCAGAGACAAGCAAAACACAGAGGGGACCTTGAAACTATGCCCACCATTGCAGCTATCTCCCTGCTCTCTGGGGAGGGCAGCTGGGATGAAGCTCTGCTCAGAGGCATGGGATGTGTTCCTTACTACAGAAAATGAAACTCAGCTCATTGTCTGTGACAACAAAGCCTTTCGAGTGTGCTGCAGGCACTAAATGGATTGCACAAAGAACAATTTTTTTGCTAATGTAACCAGAGCGTACCTCGATTGCTCTCCATGCCAGCTGATGAAAGGCAAGAAAAAAATCAGTCTGATTTTGTGGGAAATAACGCTTAGGTTGGATAATGTATTAGTGAAACAGCAATAACAGGATTACTCATGATTCGTGTAAAATTTTCCTCAGCAAGGGCTAAAATTCAGCTGACAAACAAGGATAATCAGAGCAAATGTGCCTCTGCCTTGTTGTGAGGGGTGCCAGGCTGGGTCGGTGGGGAGCAGCTCGTGGTGTGCAGGCCCTTGTAGGACTGGGGTTTGTTGGTTACAGGGTACACACACAGTAACTTGGAAAATGAAGCCTGCTTTCCATAGACTTAAATTGGCTTCCAGGGTCTGCAGTACCACCACAGGATAGTTTGTGATCTGCTAATTGAGTAAGTGTGAAAGTTCCGGGGCTTTATGATTTCTAGGGATACCTTGAAGTTGACGGTCACGTTGTGTACAGCCTGTAATGAACCCTTTGAAACAATTTGTATGCCCCTAGCACAGTCTCTCTTACTCTCCTTTTGAGAGACAGGCAAAGTCAATCAGTTGTGTGCTCATCTCTATTTTTAACCAGCATGGGGAGCATACCTGCTTGTCTCCCAGAGTAAAAACCACAAACAGACTTCTGTCTCTTTTCTTTTTCTAATGAGAGAAAAAGAAGTTTTGGAAAGGACGGGCTAGAAATTCACCAGAGAGGACCTTGTGGTTTGTCTCCTCAGAGACTAGCCGTTGAGAGCCTCCAGCATGACCCAGACTGGGACAAGTCTTTACACCCTTTTGTGTCCTATGTCTTGAGGAGAACTGTGAATTCCTGTGGAGGCCAAATGCTGTCGGGGCTTGCAGAAAGGGACTCTTGTTTATAGATTCTAGGTTACAGTGTAAAGGAAAAGAGCCAGATAAGCACCGTCCTCATGGTTTCTGATGTCTCTTGTTACAGAGCAGAGTGAAACTGCTTGAAAAGATAACCAAGGAACACGAGCAGTACAGTGCTAATGTCAACCAGTTTCAATCGTGGCTGAATGATGTGACAGAAAGATTAAACTGCTGCATTGGAGAAGCAACGAAGTCTTCGGCAGAGCACAAGTTAAAGGAACTGAAGGTCCTTAAACAATATAATTCTGACAAGGAGCCGGGATTGTGTGTTCTCCATGACTATATATGTTTCCCAAACCACACAAGGGTGTACTTCAGAACAGAATAACACAAACAAAATAAGGTGGTGATTGTAACATGGGTTACGGGAGGAGAGTTGTATCGGGTCCTAAAACCGTCAGTGCATATCATTCTCCCATCTGTAGCATGAGTCACCACCTGGTCTGCTTTGTTTTTCTTAAAGCCTGATCTGTGGTTGTGTGATTGTTTGAGAATCTTGCCCTTTAAACTTGTGTAAACGAATGATATTTGGTAAACATGATCCAAGTAGAGCCTGAACGCTCACAGGTTTTGAGAGTTTAGAGCTGGTGATAAAAATACCAGTTTTGAGAACAGTATCAGTATTTTGTTGCCACTGCTTAAACTGTTCAGCTTTAAATCTCTCAGAGATCTGATAATTAGTATTTCTAATGTGCGTGCAGTTCCTGTTTGCTTTGTCAGGGACCTCAGGTGAGAAGCATTTCTGAAAATCAAGACAGTATTTTCAGAATTGTAGCAGTTAGTATTACTCAGAAGGCAGTGAAGTCACCAACCCTGGCTTCTGGTCACTTAAAAAAAGACATACTTTGAAATAAGAACTGAAGAAGAAAATATGTACAACCAGGAGAGGTGGTCTTATTTTCCTACTGCTTTCATTTTTTTCCCCAACTTCCCATTCCTGCATCTAATCTTTATTTAACTTCTTTCTTCAGGAAATTGCCAAAAACATTAGGAGTGGTGGAAAGAAGTGGAACTACCTTGAAAATCAGTGTGCAGAGGTGATTCAGAATACCTCCCCACTCGGAGCTGAGAGAATGAAGGATGAACTTGAACAGCTTAGAAAAGCCTTGGAGAAGTTGAAACTGCTGATAAGTGAGGAGGAGGAGAGATTGCTCAAGATCCAACAGTTAGAAAGTGCCTACGAATCCCAAGCCAGACAATTAGAAGCAGATGTCCAGGAGCTGAGAAAAGATCTACAGAGACTAGAAAATGACCTGGACCCTGGGGAAGGGGAGAAGCCTGAAGACGAGCTTGTAACTCTGTGGAGAAAATGCAGTGTAAGTCGTTACCCTTTGTATGCCTAAACCCAGCAGGTTCAAGTGCAGTCATAGACTGCACACACAGTCACATCCAACAGGTGCTTGTCCCGTTGGCTAAAGGTGATAAGGAAAGAGTAGGAGTGTGTATGAAACAGACTGAGGAAAATGTGAATAGCAACAATGGAACCAACTGTTCTAACCTTTATCTTATTCTGGACAGAGGGGGTGGGGTTGGAGGATATGTTGGAGTTTGTCTCGAGTTCAGAGGGACCATGTGCAAAAAGAGCACAATACAGAGCAAACAACACGATTTGCTCTATTTAAAAAGAAGCAGGAAAATAGTGCCTCACTGTATATACAAATACATACATACATATACACACACACAAATACACATATTTTGGGGGTATTTGGTAAGACCATTTCTATATTATATCCTTCATCTGTGTAAAGTGGGTACCTGTATTCCTTTAGTGGCAGAGACATCTTCATTCCTAAGAAGTCCCAAGTCTATAGCAATCCAGTATTTACACGAGAATCGATCTGTTGCAAAGATGAACACAAGAAGTTTGTCACACATAAAGTAGATAAGAATCTTTACCACTCGTTTCCTCTTGAGGGCTGGTTTTGCATTTATTATCTGTTCTCAAAATGCCTTTCATTGCTATTTGTATGTCTAGAACTCAGCAGGACTATGTGGGAAAAGTATATGCAAAAAGAATCCACAAAATACATACTGGTTCAATCCAGCTACATTTGCATGGGTTTTTTATTAGTTTAGTTTCCCTGTGTTGCCCTAGAATTAACTTTCTGTGTATGTGAGTCTTTGAGAAAGATATCTTCCTGCAAACAGATGCAGTTAAGACTGCTCCAGAAATGCATCTCGTTATATACTCCAATCAGTGAACTGAAACTGGGCCTGTTTGTGGTTCACTCTGTTCAGACTGAACCCTGCAGATCAGATGCAGAGGCTGGGCAGTGTGAGGAGAGGAGAGAGAGCCTGAAGGAACAAAACTGTTTCTGAGAATGTTTTCTGCCTTAGCAAAGTCCATATTCCTTACAATCAGGAAAAAAGGCAGTGGAAAGGGGGCTTGTGAATACCCTGAGAAACAGCCTTATCTCTTCATTTCATGTGCCAGAAACTACAAAAGGTGTGATCTGTTCATTATTTTTATGATTAAGGCAACAAGAGCAGCTCTAGCTGCAGAAGAGTCCAAGGCTGAGAGGCTGAAGGCTCAGCTTAAGGAGCTCCTCCGGTTTTCCCAAGATGTGCAGCCGCACGCTGAGAGTGTTGTCTCTGCAATACAGCACTATCAGAGGTAGTGGGAAGTCTGATTATGCTGGGGGGTGGGGGGAATCTTCTCTCAGAAATTGAAGGGATTAGCAAGGGCCTAAGAAAAAAGTGGTATGTCATCTGATTGTAGGTGACGGGTAGAAAAGAAAGGCCTTTGCTAATTACGTCTGCCTCCAGGTTTCAGTAAACCTGTGATTTTAGCCATTTCCTAGGAGCTGTAGGCTGCTGGCCATTTTCAAGCAATGATCTTGCATCATGAATGTTGTGTATGGTTTGAAGAAAATTAGATTGTTGGCAGCTAATTTGATCTGTTTAGCATTATTATAATAATAATATATGTATTTTGCTTGCCTTTCATGACAGCAACTAGAAAATCAGGACAGGAGCTGTAACAGTGAACGGTTAGAAGAATTATGGCCCTCCCTTGTTCAGTTTGTTGTGGTGACTCATCAGCCTTAGCAATTATTTGGCAGAGTTTGTTCCCCTTCTCCCAGCGGCAGATATGCGTGATTCCTGTTTTCAACTTGCCTTGGGTTGGAAACTCTGAAAGTTTAGCCTCTCCCCAGACTCAGTGTTTCCGTTTCCAGGCTGCCTGGAATCAGGAAGTAAAGAAGCTGCAGCAAATTTTGCAAACTAGAAGAAAGGATCTTTTTTTTAAGGAAGAAGAAAGGTCAGTTTTTTTGCTGTATCCAAGCTTACTTTCCTCTGTCCCGTGCACAGTATGCTGTCCTGCTGGAAGGGTTATAGGTCATTATGGGAAAGGATTACAGTTTAAAAACTAACAAGTAAGCGGTGTCGAAAGAGAAGCAGAGGAGGCAGGGGATTTGCCTCTGCGTAGAAAATGGCAGCTGCTCTTTTGCCAGATTCTGTCCGAAGATTCGTTTCAAAGTCTGGCAGCTTCACGCTGAGCCTGGCAGGGGCAGCAGAGCAAATGGCAAACGACATGTAACGTCAGAACTTTCTATTTGTGGAGCTTATGGCCTCTGCAAGCTTGCCTTTGTTTAGCTCCGTAACGTCCCAGTGACACAGGTAAGATTGTCGTTTCTGTTTTTAGAGAAAGGCAGTATTAATCTTGATTGGCTTTGCTCTTGCCTGCCTGCCTTGTGAATATGTAGCATACTGCCCATATGAACATATAGTTTGGGCTGCATTCTGCCATATCAAATAGGATTCTGCAAACTGGGAGGAAAAGCTTTTCTGGAAAGCTGAGAAAAACAGGAGGCAGCTGTATGGGGTGTGCCACTGCTAGGCCTTGCTACTCAGCTGTATTTTGGATGAACTTTTATAAGAGAAGCCTGGGTATTTAAAGAATGTGTGCTGATTTTTTTTGGTTTTTTTCCCAATATATGTATATACATGTGTATAGCTGTGCATATATGTGTGTACATAGATAAATGCATAGCTTTTACCCAAATCACATATATATTAACATAAATACAATTGATTCTGCAAAATTTTAAACATTTATATCTGAAAAAAATGTATTTTCCTCTTTTTGTAGGTAACATAAGGTGTTCAAAGATTTATTAATGTAATTTTTTAAAGGAACAAAGACTCGGTAATGTGTCAAACAATACAGGCAACTGCAGTTAAATTCTAGACACTTTTGGCCGGTTGCTCCCATCCGTCAGTGAGACTCCTCCAATAATAGGATTTGTTAAATCATGCTGGTGGTAGCAGCCAAGGAAGATCACATACAAGGGGAGACTGCGGGCTGCTAGAAAGGCAAAATAATTCCTGATACACAGTTGCACATAAGACAAATGTGTCTTACATCGTCTAAATAAAGTTTTCTTGGATATCTCTGACTGACAGAGCAGCTGTCGGTACGCAGCCCCAGGCTCAGACAGTAAAATAGACTGAGGCTTTTGTGTTGGATACACTTTACACACGCGTATTGTATTAATTCATGCCTTGATGAATAGGATGTTTGGAGTTGGATTTCTTTGTAATCCTCTTGGCTGTCACTTTATCCTTGCAGTGTGAAAGGCAAGACGTCTAAAATGAGCACTGATACAGAAACCCAACTGAGCAGACTCTTCCAAAATCCCCTGCAAGATTTTGAACGGTGGAAGTCATCGGTCCAGATGCTCCTGGGGACTCTGGAGCCAGAGCTGGCTCACATTGAGGTAGCAAACCTGTTACTAAGTTCTTTGTGTTTGCGCAGGCTGTGCCAGCAGCTGCCTGCATGCAGCTGCCTGCATACAGCTGCTGGAGAGCAGCATCTGGAAGGGTCTTTCCAGTATGGCAGGAAACCCCACAGTAAGGAGGTCAATACTGAACTCGAGCTGTAGCAGAATGTCTTGTTTTCTGCCCTTCGTTTGTTTATCTGGAGTTGTCAACTGAATAGGCTGAAATAAAGGGCTTATACAATGATGATAATGTTATTTAGCATTAGCCCAAGTCTCCCTGGACGGGAAGTCTGTGAACGCTGTTAAGAAGTGTGTGGTAATATAGCTGTGGGATCAAAATGCATAATTTCTGCGTGTGCCCAGGAGAGTGTTTGTTACTTTGTCATCCCTGTGATCTGCAGAATAAATGTGTCTGTGAACAGGGATGGAATTTATTCTTGGGATGAGCATTCAAGCTGTCCTTTCTGTTGGTTGTTTAGGCTTCTCCTCTGCACAGACAACTCTTTCCATAGTACAGCTTTCCTCTATTTCTGTTCACAAAATGGATGCAGCCCCGGTGCTTCTAACATTATCAGGAAGACTTTTCCTTTAACTGGGCACTGTCCAGGTACCTTCTGTTATCCCTTGTTGGCCCAGCATGCTGTTTTTACCTGACTTTGTCATACTGCTTTGGTTGTGTGACTTTTGTGAGAATAATACGGTTATATGATTTTTATTTATATTTTTTTGGTATGATTTCATTGGAAGATTTTTTCTCCTTTAGGCTGCTGTAGCTGAAAGCTCCCAGTTCAAAGAGAAATTGATGACATTACAGCTGAAGAAAGATTTGCTAAACAATGTCCTTGGTGAGGAAAAAGCAAAATCTTTCCTGCAAGAAGTAGCTGAAGCTTCAAAGGAGAGAGAAATTCTACACAGAAGTCTGCTGCAAAGCAAGAGCAAACTCCAGGTGGGCTTCAAAGCCCGTGTACAGTCTTTGCCTGTGACAAAGACAGTGATCAATGTTTTACTAAGCCAGTTTTATAGATATAAATTTGGTACTAACCAGCTGTGTGCAGTTGTTTTTTCTAAGTTGATCAAATATTCAAATAAATTTGCGTTCTGTTGCACAGTGTAGCTTGGTGTTTGTTCCAAGTATGAAATGGACATTGAAAAAAGATAATGCCAAGGGATGTATGTTGAATGCTGGATCTTTCTTCTTTCTCCATCTAGAATTTGATATCACAACATAAGGACTTTGATGCTGGTTTCGCACCTTTGCAGAAGAAATTATCTGCCATCAAAGCCAAATTAGTTTTAGAGAAGGAACCACGGCCTGACCTCTTGGGTAAAAAGACACAACTCCAGAGACTCCAGGTACATTACAGTAATGTTTGACTGTGATATCCTCAGTTAACTGTGATCCCGTTTGTTCATATTTTATTAGCATTAGGAATGCAGTACCTTGTCCTCTCGATCGATTGTGTGTTAGATAATTTCATTTGGTCCAGTTTATAGCATGGAGTAGATGAAATTGAAGCAGCATGGCTGAAGAACTGGCAAACTGGGCTTGAAGGAAGGAACAAGCAGCTGGAAGCTGTTGGTGCCACACCTTCTTGGGCTAGTTTTATTGCTGAAGAAAATGTATCCTGGTACTTCCCACTAGAAGTGAAACTGCACAAGATAACCTGAACAAATCTAACTCACTCCAAAAGCAGGGATTTCCCATTGTCCCACCTCCCTCTGCATCCCCACTTTTCTGCACTTCACCTTGTCACAGCTTTGACACGTGCTGAGTTTACTCCACGGGCTAATTCAGCTGGCAAAGAAGGAAAAAAATAATCACAGAAAAAGTTTATCATTTTCCACTTTATTAGTGTTTTGAACCTGCTCAAGGCATGCAGTGGGGCTATGTTAGCTGGGAGAGGGGAGAGAAGAGCAGGAGGGGAAGAGAGAGGGGAAGTGACTCTTCCTTTTTGCCATGGTAAGCTACAGTGATTCAGCTATATGGTGACACTTCACCCATGGTGACCACAGGGGTGTTATCAGCATGGTTCTTTGCAGTACTTAGCTAATTATGCTGTGTCGCCTCTGGCAGCTTCCCAGCAACTTGTCTTTGTTGTTATTAACAGGTAACATGTAAGAATGTCCAACAATTTCTTTCAGAAACATTTACTTCTAGACATGAAAAAAATCAATGTTCTTAATGACAGTGATTGTTTTGTTTTGTTTTGTTTTTTCTCCTCACACTGTCAAATGAAATTAATTTTAGTGTATGTTTTGTGGAGGTCCATGCCACATCTAGCACATTACCTGTATGTAATCTGTCTTTTCCTCTGTAGATGATCCAAGATGACTTGGCAGAGCTTGCAATTCAAATGGAGGAGGTAGAGAAGCTTGTTCAGTCAAATACCACACACAGGCATGAGATGAACCAACTTTCATCTGACTCTCAGGCCCTGAAGAGATCATTGGAGGTAACATAAGAAAGAGTTTTTAGTTGCTTGGGGAGTTATCAGTTGCCACTATTTAAAAAGATAAAAATAAAAAAAAAGCTTTGAGCATATAAGATTATATGCTTTGAGTGACAGGTATTTTAATTTCAGGGCAAAAAAGCACTGAATTCTTACGAGTTTGGTAACTCTTCCAGGATTCTCTGATTATTTCTAGTGTGATTTCCCTTTGGGATAGGATACCATCCACATTGATTTTTTTTTTTTTTTTTATCTATGGAAATTATCTTTGGAGTGGGACTGAGATTTCTGTCAGACCTCATAGTTGTATTATCATGGAGGTGCTTGGACTTCTCTGCAGATTCCTGGATAGTGTTCCTGTACCAAACTGTTTGGGTTTTTATAGCTTTGTGACCTAAACCTTGGTGAGAGAAAAGTGTTGCAATTGCAGAAGTACTTGTTTTGACCTGAGGCATTTGGTAGGTAGTAACTGTAGCAATAAAGGGACCTTCCAAAGCAGTCTCACAAGAAGAGCTTATAAAATTACCTTAGTTATGAAAGTCACCATAAAAATATGTATGATTAAGTGTTACCCTAATATGCACTGTGGAATTCTAGTTTCAATCTCAATAATTCCATTTATCGCTGAACTGGACTTCTGCCAAAAAAGTCTGTGCCATCATTTGTGATTCAAGGAGTTCGGGATGTATTTAATGTTGACTGGGTTATAAAAAACCCAGACATATTCTTTATTCAGTTTCAGCTGAAAAGGGAGATATTGTAGTGCTTAATGCCCCCCCATGTGGTTGAATTCAGGTCTGCAGGAGCTTGTAGGTGTTTTCTGTGCCACTAATGCTAAAGGACAAAGTTTTCTGTGTTTCATTAACAGCTGTTTTTTTCCTTTTTGCTCATGAGATTCAATGTCAGTAGTCACAGTGTTAGATCCAGTAATCAAACTGCTTTTTGTCTGTGTTTAGTTGCTGACATATTTTTATCATTTTCAGATGATGATACAGGAGACTGAAGAGCACGTTCAGAAGCATTGGGCATATAATGACAAGCTCTCTGACCTCCAGCAGTGGATCACAGTAACCGTGGAGAAGATTGCCTTCTGCCGGGGTGCTGATGGAGAGCAGAACACTGAGGGCAGGGTGGCAGACCTTGAGGTGATAAAAGCATCTTAGTCTAAGATGTTAATTGTTGACTGCAGCATTCAGACATGAAGGACAGGGGTTTTCTAGTGAGGGTGTCCTGGACGGGGAGAGTAATGATGTCTTATTCCTCCTGCGATAACTGTTGGCTGCTGCTGCCTCCCTGCTTTGCCCTGTGTCGTGGGATGTGGAGCTAGGTAAAAGGCAAGAACAGTGAGAAATGGCTAAGAACTGTTGAGGTGGATAAAGAATTATCAAAGGATGGGTGGTTTTAAAAAGAGCTCTTCCTGCCAGGGTGGTCTCTCTGGACAATACCTACCTTTGCCTGTATGTACTTATCGATACATTGAATATCCTTACCCTGTTAGCTTACCTTAGACTGTGCTGAACTGAGCCACAGCTGCTGGCTTTTCCCTGTGCAGCAGTATTTTGCGTGCTGGATTCATTCTGGCAGGTTACTTCAGCTGGCAGCTTTTGTCTTCGTAGGGGAAACCAAGATATCTCATGGCTACAGGAGGGGTGAGTGCATTGACAGCTTGTGCCCTTTAAGTTTTGCCATAAGCTCTTTGACCCATGTTGGCTCTTTGCAAGAATCCACAGCATATTTTTTTTCCCGTTAGGTATGTTCTAGCTAATGCCAACAGAACTAGCATAGTCCTGGACTGAACATGGCCTTCAGTCTGACATAGCCTCTGCTTTACCCAGGATACCTAGAAGTAACTGTAAGGGCTGTACATTTCAGAGATGGCTAGCTGAGTTTCCAGATAAGGAGATCCAGCTTCACGTTGTGGAAGCTCATGGCCAGCTGATCATGGAGAATTCTTCTCCAGAGGAGACTGCCCATGTCCAGGCAGAGCTGGATCAGCTGAAGGACTCATGGAGATCACTGAAGGAGATGGTAACTGGGTAAGTGTTCATGTACATCTTCCTCATGTCCGTTGAAGGGGATGCTGTTTACTGCTATATGACCAGACACACTTCATGCTTTATGCTTTGTGCTGTGAAAGTGAACAGTTATGTTACAATGCTAGGAGCACGATGAGATTTTATTTAATTGTTTGTGAATGGGAAACCATTACTTTCAAGAAAACGATTTTAGAGAATCCGAGGACCAGAGCAGTCTATGAAGCTGTCTTTACCTCATGCTTGGAGTAGGCAGTGTCTGCTTAGGACCTGGCTCACCCTGGTACTGCCGGTCCCTGTCAGAGGAAACAGGACATAGACTGAGTGACTTCTGCCATTCTGCCTTACCTGCCTGTTCTCCTTGGCATCTGATCTGGAGATATCACCGAGGAGGCTATGTCTGCACTGGGATTTGTGCCTTTTGCAAACCTGCAGGAGTATAAACAGAGCTAAAATCCTCTCTTAGCTGGCAAATATGGACTTACTTACCCTCACTGTGCAGAGTCAAACTGCTGCTCGTATTTGCTAGTCTGTATTGAAATTTAATACCATGCTACATATGTGAGTATACTCATACATAGTGTCAGAATAGGCAAAAAAATGGATGAAATCGAGGAAGGCTTGATTGTACCGCCTGCTGTTACCAGACTGGAAGGTATATTGTCAAGGGAGTATGTATTATTTTTTTGGTCCCTCACTCCCCTGAATAAAAGAAAACAAAACACTTGGAAATGCTAGAATTAGAGGACTGGTACTGCTTTGAGACATCCCTGTCTTGATCTTTATTTTGTTAAAAAAGTGTTGGAAATAACTTTAATAGTAATAATAGTATAATAATAGTGCTGTTTCAGCAGAGGTGTCCCCTGTAGCTCTGGTCAAAATGTAGATGTCTCATCTTTAGATGTTTCACAGCACTGATGTCTCCAGGTTTATGTTTTCAAGTCTTCTCAAAAAGTGGCAGTTAAAGAGACCAGTGGCTGATAAGAAGAAGAAAACAGCCTATGTGGACAGCAGATGGATGTCTGGACCTGCCCTTCCTCTTTTAAATGTAGATCCCAACGATAAGCAGGTGAGAGGGGGATTCTGTCTGCCTTCGTATCAGCTTCATCTGATACTATGGGTTACAAGGTTGGAGGTTAAGATCTTGCAATCGGGTCTTCAAAGGAAATGTCTGACATAACGCTAAGGGCTTTTTTGTTCTTGTTCTATAATCTAGGAGAGGATGGAAAAAGGGCAAAGTAAGAGCAACGACTTGAAGCTCCTACATGACTTTGAAGAGTGGTTACAAGGAGAAAACGCCAAACTGATCAAAACTCTTGCTGTGACTTCATCTTCTACAGAAGAAATTAAGGCACGCCAGAGCAAACTGGAGGTTAGTTTTCAGGGAACAAAGATGGAGACAAAGATTGCAAGAAGTTCAAATTCTTTGAGAATTAGAACAAAAAACGCAACATCAAAAAACCCCAAACTCACCAACCAACAAACCCCACAAAACAAACAAAAAAGACTCCCCCAAAACAACAAATAAAAGCCCCTTAAACCTACACTCGCTGCTTTGGAAGACTCTAGACTAGATGAAGCTCAGGACTTTAGGATGAGTATTTCACCCCTTCTGCTAAGAAAGGTCTGCCAGAGCCAGACTGGTAGAAGAGAGGGGAGCAGCTTGGCCTCTGGCTGTTGGATTGGACATTTCCAGTGTGGTGTGCAAAGGTGTTTATTAAAAGAACCTGGTTAAAATAATTGTCTGGTACTTGGCCTCTATCTTTTGTATTTCTGTTGATTATACCCAGATGCAATGACAATGGATGCTGTAAGAAATGAAACAAAGAGAAATATCCAAGGTTACAAGGGTCTTGCAGATGAGTGGACTCATTGTGTCACTTTAGGCCAAAAAAGTGATAACAAATATAAATGCACTATTCCACACTGCCCAGTAGTTTGATTTAGTACCCCTGTTCTTTTAAATGCTAGATTTAAAAAGCAGAGCCTTCTTGAGTTCTGAGTTGATGCTTACCTTGTCTTTGCCTCCAGGAGCTGCAGTCTCGTGTGCCTGATGGTCAGTGTCTCTTTGAGGACCTTCTTCATCTTCATCCTGTCACTGGAAACTCTGAAGATCTGGAGGACCTGCGTTACCGATGGATGCTCTACAAATCTAAACTGAAAGAGTCCCTGAGTTCACCGGTAGGTGACGGCACTCGGTTCACAGTTTCTGATCTCTGCCATCGCTCTTTTAGGTTGCTTCACATTGCCAGTCATAATTCAGCAGTACATGTGTGGGTCTGCTTAATTAAAACCTCCCTCAGTAAATGTCATCAAAGACACAACAAACATAGCCGGGTATTTTTAAGTCTAAGAACAGAAATTCTCGTGTTAAAATAAAAGTTGTGCACTGTCTTTTCCCCTTTGTAAGCAATGCTCGGAATATTTCTCAAAGTGAAAGATTCGAAACAGAACAACAATTGTCCATTGTCAGATATGCATGCAGTTTGGGACTAAGATGTTTGTGCATGTGAATATTTTCGATATACACGTCGTTCTGGGCACATGGATTTCTAGCTTTTTGTCCTTTCTCCACACAGCATTCTCCATTGAGTTATTTTTTTTTAACAGTTCCTGCAGTAAGAATATGTTTGCGGTTCAGTATTTGTGTCTCCTGCTGTGAGACAGAGGGATCAGAATAGCCACTCACTGAACTGACTCAGAAAGTAACTGTGCACAGAAGAACCTAGTCGTTTTTGGAACTGTCTTTACAGGCTAAGGATCTGGAATGAAATAAAGAGGAGGTATTTTAATGCAAGAACCAAATGGTTAAAAAGCTGTAGAGTTACTATATGTAAGACATGCTAAGGATGGCAGAATTCATGCCTATATATAAGATCTTCCAGGGCATGCTAAAATATTCTCATGTTCTTAGCATAAACATACATAATTATTAATTAAGATTTGTCTAGCTTAACTACTTACATTGTGTGTTCAAGATACCTTCCAAAGCATTTGCGCACAGAAAGTACCAAATGCACACCTGGAAAGTCTAATCTTCTGATTAAAGTATCTGAACTCAAACACCTAAAATCTGAGGCACCTGAAAATTTTCTGCTTTGGGAAATGTTGTCTTCAAATCCAAAACTTACTTAGAGTACAAATCCTTTAAAGTGCAGGGAAGGTAAGCATGACCTCTATTAATAAAGAGCATATTTCTGAGAATTGATTGTAATGAGTTATTCTTTGTTGACCAAAACCTTGTGTAAACATTAATATAGTCAATAGGTGTCAGTAAAGTCAAAGCCATTGCTGGGAGAGCTGCTCATCCGATTCAAATGGTCAAGAACCCAAAAGCACTGCATGGTTCTGACTAATGTGTGTTAAAAAGATCATTAAAAAACAATATCCTAATGGTTCACTCTATCCAGGCGATCATGAATTTGGAAGAAACACATCCCCTGTGAGGTGAATACTTATTTATAGGCTCCACTGGGATCTTAAGTTCATGCTTCTTTTTCTTTTTTTTTTTTTTTTCTTCCTTTTTCTTTTAAACAGAATGCGGGATCTTTGGAAGAACCAGACAGATTCAGAAAGGTATGACAGTTTCCTATGATTAAGCTAAAAAATGTTTGATGAGACATTTTGCAGATAATTATTTTAATTTAAATTTTTTAAAGATTCTTGACATTAACTTGATTATTAAGAGCCTCCCTTAAAAAAGAAGTTTGTTTTCTCCTGATTTTACAAAGAAAAAATATTTCATAGTTTTTACTCTTGAGCTATGCTTACTGCACCTCTGGAAGTTAAATACCCATCTCCTGGGAGAGTGAGTACAGGAACTCAGTTTTTGTACATTTACGTGCTGTATGAACTTAATTCATTTTTCAAAAGAGACTAAGGAAGAGATCAAGTCTCTCTGTAAAGGTTTTAGGGGCCAAGTGCCTAAAATAGTTCTGAAAACTGGACTTGTAATTCTTTAGACAATTCTGAAAAATTGCTTTGGATCATGCAGCCCACCTTTTTTCTAAGGCAGAAAAACAGAGAAAGTCAAGAGATTTGTCTAATGTTATTAGACTAAATCCTTATTCCAAGCAGCAGAATTCCTCCTGTGAAGGATTTTCTTTTGAAAGTGATGACATAAGAAACAGAAGCAGTACAGGAGATGATAAGGAGAAGCTTAAAGAAAATAAAATGCTGCCAGTTTCTTATTAAACCCAAGAAGCACTTCTGATCCCATTTTCATAAAGTCAGCGAGTTTTTCTGTTGACCTGAGCAGTGTTGAACTGTCTTTTCTCTCTGTCACAATTTGCTTTGTTTGTAGACACTGTTAGCTTCTATTTTGTACTGTCATCTCACTTTCCCTTTGTTTTCAGAAGGAATAGAGTAAGACTTTATTTGCCCAACGTAGAGTAGATTGGATGAATAACGTGCTGCAGGAGCATAATCACATAATCAGCTTAAGCTAAATCAAACCCTTGATTTCTCCTGTTGCAACATCTCTTTAGAAGACACCAATACTTAAAGGGTGCAGTATAGTGCACTTTTAGTATGGCCAGAGATCAAGACTTCCTCATTCAGGTAAGATAGTCCTCTGGTACTCAGATGTGGAGTAGCATCTCCAATATTTTTCCCCAGAGAAATATGGACCAATTTAAGGTAGTTTTCACACATCCCCTGAATAGTTTTGGCCACATTTCAGCCTTCCTGAAAACCCCCAAAGAGTTTGTGTTCTTTCCTGACTGGCTCAGCATTAATTGTTCACTACTGTTGATCATACAGTAAGGTCACCAGAATTTTTCGGGCTGGAAAAACAATGTGACATTGTAATACTTGGTGTTTAGGCAGCAAAACATTTAGTAGTGCTGCTTTTCCCTAGAAGAGGCCTAGAGGGATAGTCCAGAAGCTGACCAAGGAATTCTCTGGTTTCATTTGATTTGGTTGGGTCAAGTTGTTTGTAGGGGAAAACAAAACAAAACAAAAGCTTTAGGCATAAGCGCATCTCCACTGTGCAGTTAGGTATAATTTTTTAATCCATCTGTCCCACCTGCCTCAGGGTAGGTGGTATTTATTCATCCTTAACTTCTCTAGAGGAGACTGAAGTCTTCAGTTAGTTTTCAAGGATGCTGGAATAACATACTGGCAGGCAGCAAACCTTTGTCAATTAGGCCTACAGCAAGACCACAAAAAAAAATTCTACGAGTTTTTAATCGCTACTGAACACAAATAAAAGAGAAACAGCTCGGGGTGGGGAGGAATGAGGAACTGAAATACCTCATAAGCATGAAGGAAATGGCTCCCATTGCACCAACAAGTGATCTGCAGTTTCCCTCCAGCTAGTACAAATGTTGTGGTAACTTACACCTTGTTCACTTCAGTGTGATTTTGCTGACTTCAGGGCATTCGTCCTGGATGGAAATGGTGTCACTGTAATGAGAATGCAAGCACTGTAAGAGGAGGTTTCTTTTTCATTGAGGCTAAGGCTTTTATCAGGATGTGAGCCTGTGTTGCCATAAGATTGCTGAGCATCACTTAAGAGAACCGGAAAATAATGTTGATCCTTTTTGGATGCATCACTGTTCAGGCTGAGAGAAGAGGAAAAGCAAACTAACTGCAGAATTCATGGCTTTGCACTTTATTTTAAATTCACATTTAACATTGAAAGTGTGGCTAGAAATGGAGGAAGGATTAGGGAAAATATTTTTGTATGTTTTGAATATCCTTTCAAAGCCATGGTGAAGGAAACTGACTACCCTGAGAGAGTGGCTGGTCTCAGGAGTTGGTATCTGCAGAAAGTGCACATGGTTGAGGGCTGCATCACTGTATTTGCAACATCCAGTGAGTCTGCGTGCAATGGGATCAGGTTATCTCTAATTTGTCAGCTCCCTCATGCTTTTGGGTCACACAAAATCAGCAGAGGTGGCAGAATTCTGCGTATTTTTGGACTAATCTCTGCTTTCTGTGACATGAGTTTCCCAGTGGCCCTGCTTGTCTGTCCTGTTTGAACTGTGAATATTTTGCAGCAGCAGCAGATGAACCTGGAGAACGGGAAGACCCAGCTGCAGCCAGTCTCATTCCATTGCCTTCTGGTTTTGTTCCATTTCTAGCCTACATGGCCAAATGTTGGGCTGAATAGAGCCTGCTCCATGTATATCAATGTGCTTTTTTTCTGATCATTCATCCTTTGCTGAGGACATGCCCCTAGCCACTGGTGCCCTTAGGAACAGTACGGGCTAATGATTGCGTTGTGAGCAACTTCTTGCTGATTAACAAAAAACAGCTGCAGGAAATTGCACTGGCTGCAGTGAATTTTTAGCAGGTGCCGGTGACAGGGCAATGTAGATGGATATTTCTGCAGGGTACCTAGCACACCCAAGAACATAATCAAGCAAATGTGCCATAATAACTATGATAAATGTTACTTTCAAAGGTTGGCTCCCAGCTACCTGTAAATATTCTGTAAGCATTCTTAGCATAAATAGGAAGTGAAAGGCTCATTATTTACAGGTGTAGGTAGCACTGTTTGATTTATTTTCTCAAGTGCTCAGAGTAATTACACTTTCTTGCTAAACAAATGATTCTGTCTTTATTGTTTATACAAACAAAATAATTAGGATTCATTACATCAGTGGTCAGCTAATTGCTTCCTTTGAGATTCTGCTAAGACTAATCTCCTATAACACAGACAGAAGGAACATGTAATTTAATCTTATTTAGAAACACCATTGATCTGGAGTCAATCAAATTAATGCAGCCATTCAGGAAGCTGCAAAGCAAGAGCTGCCACAGCATGCCAGGAAGAAAACAGTAACGCGCTCTGCTCTGCCCAAGTGCAGATATGACAGGAATTCTTCATGGCAGAAAGTCACATTACAGAAATGCACAGAGTCGTGTGTACGTGCCTGTGTTAATGGTACCTCTGTGTTGAAAGTATGTGGCCCGTTTCTTTTCCTGAAGTCCTGCTGGGTGTTAGCCACTTGAAATCTTGTGTGCAATTACATTCTTAGTAAAATGGAAAAGACTCATTAAAAGGTGTCCTTCCCTCAGTTTTCAATATCTCTTTTATAAGTATAGGGAATATATCTTTTTTTTTTTTTTTTTTGCATCACTGTGCCTGTAAGTCTGTGCCTACCTGCTTTATACCATGGCCCAAACACAGAGGAAGGGCATCTTACCATTCAAAATTAGCAGATAGACCTATTTTCCCTCAGCAGTGATGTTTGCTCAGAAAGGAAACTTAGGCAAAAAAATAAAAAGCTGAAAAATCCTGGCTGCGTCTAACTCTGACCCACTGTTAAGTATGCTCTACCAGACAGCATCATCCCCTCCCCTCTCCAGCAGGCCCACGAGCTTCCCTTCGTGTTACTGCACCTGTGAGGCTGCCTGTTTGTCTGCTTTTATTTCTGTAGAGTTTGTGTGGTTTACCAATCTACATTACAGCTCTCCCAAATGCTAGAAAACAGGGAGTCTCAGTCTTTTATCTGGTTCAGCCACTGCTGTGCCTTGCCAATGCTCTCCCTCTGAAGCAGTGTCAGTGCAAGATGGAGAAGGCATCTTGCTTCCCAGGACACCTGGTTCTTCCTTTCTGTTAACGTTAACATGGTGTTAGCCAGGTAGGTGCTTGGTGGCCCCTGCTTTCCTTGTTGAAAAGGTGCGTCCTTTAGTAGCCTACCATGTTGTGAAGTATTTGCAGATTTTCACCAAGGAGACACCTTAGAATGATTTTCTCTGCAGATACGATTTTACATCCTAACTGAAAGGTAACGAGAGACAGATTTGTTGACCAATAGCGGAATGAAACGTATTTCCATTATATACTTGAAAAATGTATTTAACACTACTGTAAAAAGCATGGTAGGAAAAATTCTTGTAATCAATACACTAAACTGTATACATATTAGTTTTTAAAAAGTAAATAATCCCGTTTTTAAATTATTTAAATAAAATGCAAATAATATTCAAATTATATATGGTGACTGCTGATTTTTAAGAAAAGTTTAATCTTGACTTGAGAGAAGTCACTGGTAAAGCAACTGGAACCATACATTGTTGACATGATAAACCAGCTTTTGATGTCAGTAGCTGCTTCGACAGGTTCCAGAACATGTTGTCTTTATTTCAGTTTTTATTCTTTCTATGTGCAATTTAATTAGTTTATTTCAAATTGCAAGGCTGAGTGGAAGTTGGAAATTGGGAGAAGTTTTACTTCTCTGCCTTGTTGAATAAATGTAGAGCACTGATGTCTCCTACCAAATTTCAGATACACTGACTGAAAAGTCATTCAGTTACTAGCTGCCAGTAACTCTCCTTCTAATAGTAATACAGTATTGCTCTTAAGTACAAAATACATTTATTGGGATAAATTGTATTGCTTATAAGTGTATTTAAAACTGGTGAAGTATTCTTGTGTTTTTATTTGAATTCAGTTGAATTCAATGAGTAGCTCAGCCCTTTACAGCTGCTCACTCAGTTTCCCCACAGTAGGATGTGGGGGAGAGTCAGAAGGGTAAAAATGAGAAATCTCGAGGGTTGAGATAAAGGCAGTTTAATAAGTAAGAGAATGAAACAAATAAAAACAAACCCAAGGAAAACAAGTG